CTTCAGTTGAAGTGCTTTCTGCTGCTGTGGCAGTTGTATTGTGAGCCAAAGCAGTACTGATAATGGTGGTTGTAGCTTTAGTAGCAGTGCTGGCAGTGGTTGCAGTAGTTGGCTCTGTAGAAGTGGTGGCTACTGTGGTGGTGGTGGTGGGTTCAGTTGAAGTGGTAGCTTCTGTAGTGGTTGAAGGTTCAGTAGAAGTTGTAGCAATGGCCATTGTGGTGGTAGCCTCAGAGGTAGTGCCAGAAGTTGTTTTGGCTGTTGGTTTGCCTGACGTGGTAGCTGCTGTGATGGTTGAAGATTCAGTGGAAGTAGTACTGGTGGCTGTTGCAGTTGAAGCCTCCGTGGTAGTGCTGGCAGTTGTGGTTCGTAGTTCTGCTGAGGTGGTGGCTGCTGTGGTGACAGTAGGTTCAGCTGAAGTTTTGTCTGCTACTGTGGTAGTTCTAGATGCTATAGAAGCAGTAGTGATGGTTATGGTTGTAGCCTCAGTTGCAGTGCCTGAACACATTGTTGTAGTGGTTTCAGATAAAGTGTTGCCTTCTGCTGTTGTGGTTTTTGTTTGAGCAGTGGTTGCTGCACTAGTAGATTCTGTTGAAGGGCGACCAGTGGTTGTACTGATGGTAGTTGAAGTGAGTGGTGTGGTAGAATCTGTTATGGTAGTGGGAATTATAGGCTCAGAACTAGTTTTAGTTGCAGAGGAGGTTGTCTCATGGTTTGAGGGAAAGTGGATAACAATGGAAGCATTATTGTTTTTTCCATTATACACCAAAGACACTATGAGTACTCCAATTGCTGTTGTTATCACACAGGCTAAGAGACAAAGCAGGAAGATTTTCCACAGAGACCAGTCATTAAAGAAATTTCGTGTCACCTGGAAAGGATGTATACAAAATTACTGAAAATAAAACCAAATGTTTCAAAAATGTAATACCATTGAAAATCCTCTTTTATATATTACCTTACTGAAAGATGGTATATACACAAAACACTATTAATAGCTTCTAATAATAAAAAATGACTCAAATTTAAGATTTCATTTAAGAAAGACTTGGTCCTTTTACTGTCTTTAATACAGGAACAAATAAGTTTCTACCAATTTCTCGTGTTTTCTTTTCATATATCTATATCTCAAACTTTAAGAAAAAAAGGTAATCAATGTCTTCTTAGAAACTTTATATTCCTGCCACTATCAAAAGTTTCTATACATGTGTGGTGACGGCTGTACACCGTGATTTTAGTGACCCAAAAGATCACCTGATTAAATTGCCTCCCCTTCTGGCTTGTCAGCTATCAGAAATTTAGCTACTACTTTGAAGCCTTCGATTTTAAATGCATTGATTAATGGCTTGTCAAATTTCCTGGCTAATTTTTCATACAGATTAGCATCTGGCAGGATGAAATTTAAAATCTGAAAACATTTGTTGAAATCCCACGTCTGTTGCCACCAGTTATTTCCATTGGGGAAGATACTTACCCCTTTGATGGAATCCTTTCATCCATAAAAATGGATGTGATAAGCTTAGAATAAGAACTAACGTCAGTAAAATTGCTTTATACATTTTAAAATACTATTTATATAACAAATTACAGTGGAACCTAGGTTCTTGAACTTAATTTGTTCCAGGAAACTGTCCGAGAAGTGATTTGTTAGAAAACCAAACATTTTTTTTGCATAAAAAAATCATGTAAATTGCATGAATTAGTTCCAGACCCCCCAAATGATTACCGGTTTTAACCTTTCTTATATGCAGTACAAGTCTAATGTAATTTATAAACAAACACTTCTTTTCTTAAATTTTCAAACCCCCTACTAGCCTTAAACGAATCTCTTTCAGCACTAGTTCCAGGTGTGTCTTTTAGGAAGTCAGCTTGGGGCGTTTTGCTTTTTCACATATCACCACCTCCAAAATGCTGACACTGTCTCAGGCTAACTGCTTTTTCATTTATCCAAATCAACAACGGTTTTTCTACCTCTGTGCTCATTGTTTCTTTTTTACACCCCATAGCAATATTAGCACTCTTATGGCCTCTTGAAGGTTTACTAGTAAAGTTGTGCTAATCACCCATTTGTCAGCAACAAAAGTAAAAAGAAACCACAAAAATATTCACAGCATGATTTCCTGAGAGGTTACCAAACCCTAAGTTTCTAGGTAAACTGACTGGGATTCTCTCCTTTGTTTGTGGCAGTGAGGCACTTTTTGTCATGCTAAAGTACCAACGACATTTGTTTCCTGAACAACTTGGTGGAGAACCAAATTGTTTGAAATGGGAGACATTTGAGAATCGAGGTTTGACTGTATCTATAAATATATATGTAATTTAATATATATAATTTATAGATTTACATATATGTAATTTGTTATTGTAGAGGAAACACTGCATAATGTAGAACATGTAAGTCTTCAGAACAGGAAGTCTTGAATTTAAGTCCCATGCCATTAATATTCTAACCAAGTTTATTTACTTGTCTAATTCTCAGTTTGCCTTATATCAAAAGTGGGGATAATTACATCTATCTCAAAGTGTTGCTGAGAAAATTAAAATCAGAAATATCCTCCTTACATTCTTGCAGAAGGCAGTTCATTGTAGAAATTAGGAGCACAGGCATGGAGTCTAACAGATTTAGGTTTAAATTTTAACTCCACCTTTCACTAGATGGATGATGCTATTTGGAAATTTGCATTATATTTCAAAGCCACAATTCCCTCATGGGGATCCTATCACCTATTGCACAGGATTACTGTAAAGAGTAAACAAGAAAACAATATGGGTAATGTTTCCCTGCACTTACTAAGTATTCAAAAAAATACTTGCATTCACTAATTACTTCATTATTATCCCTTTTCCTCTAACTGAAAGCAGATCACTAAAGGAAACAAGCACAGAGCAGTTGTCTTTGGAGCTTGTAGAGTAGCTCTTAAAAGTCACAAAATGTGGAACACGGTCTCAGATAGTAAACCTCAGGTTGGGTGCTGAGACGAGGTCCCACTAGGAAATTAGAAGCAGTGCGAGGGCAGGGGCCACTAAGGCCGAGGATTTAGGGCACCAACTGAGAAAGCCCAAAGACAATGGGCCCAGGGCATCCACGTCTTAGAAAGGAAGTCAGAGTGGTAGGAGAGGAAGGACCATACTCACATCTCATGTAAGGGAGATAATTACCTCATTTTTTGTTTGAATCTTTAAGAAGAGGGGCAAGGTTAATAGAAACTCGCATTAACCTGACCTGAGACCTGTGTGTCCATGCTATTACCGCCACTAGCTAGCTGTGTGATTCTTAAAACATTCTAAACTTCCCAGGCCACATTTTTTTTTCCCCATCTGTCACTAAGTAAATGCATCTAAAATAGCTTCCAGCTCTCTGATTGGTCTGGTTTGCTTGTGGTCATCAGAGACATGTTCTCTAAATAATTCTTATCTATCAAAAGCATTCTTCCACAATGTCTCCTGGCAGAGAGTGTAGCCTCTTTTGTTTTGTCAGAGTCTCTCCAAATTGTCTCTATAGTAAGATTAACTGGAGGAGGGGTGTGGTCCAGAGCTGGAAGCACTGAGCCAGCTGGCAAACGTCAGCATCAATCAATCAAACTCAAGTTTTCATCTTGGAGGGGACTCAGAGATCAGACCTTAAGGTAAAGAAAATAGAATAATAAGAAAAAGGGTCATGAATATGGGAAATCTGCTTCTGGGTATCAGAAGTGCTAAATAGTTTCTAAGTCAAGGTTGAAACACATGAGGTCAGAACCAACAGAAGGCCCACAGTTGGCTCAGAGGCAGGAAGGGTAAGAGAGTGAGACAGATCACCCACAGACTAGGGCCCCAGAGCCTTAACACATGGCTTCATCTCCACCTGAGCAAGGGGTACAATGTCATTTATTGCCAATGCATCACCTACTCAGTCCTCAAAATAAAAGAGACCCCAAAACTTTATTTTCTTCGACCCTTAGATATTTTCTCCAAATTGTGTATGTTTTTGTCTCTTCATCATATCATTAACTCCTTAAATGAAAAGCCCCAAAAAAACTCTGTCTCTTGCATTCCCTCTCAGTGACATGTTTAAAGGATGCTGTAGATTTTCAAATGTTATCATTAATTGATTAAATGGTTTTCCTCCAAAATATTAGATCAAGAGTATTTCCATGAGAATGATAGCATCACCCAGAGA